CATACCTAATATGAACCCCACTCCTGAATTGTGGTAGTTCGGTTTGTGTGCCACCTTGGCTGGGCCTGGTTGAGTGGCTGGACAGCTGGGGGTAGTATTCCCCATGATGAGACTGGTAATCAACTCCATGGTGGAATCTACTATGAGCAGCTGAGTAGCTGCCTTTGGGTCTGTTTTCTGCTTCCTGTATATAAGGAGAAGCTTTGAGAATAGTCTCTAGCCCATGACATGCTTGGACCCTGCATGTAGCCATGTCAGTTGCTCAGCAGCCTGCTATACTCTGCTGACCTTGGGACTTACAAGGATTTAAGTTAATGGCCTGTCATGTGATTTGGTAACATCGGGACTGTGCCTTTTTACTTGTCAACCTTGGGGCTTCTCAGCCTCAGCAGCCAGCAGCTGTTTGAGTGAACAAATACACTAGCTCCAGTGGGCCAGGAGTAGGAGGTAGAGCTGCACCCCAAGGTTGAGGGGCTTTCACCCAGCCCTTAGAGCCTGGCACTTTGAACTTGGACTTAAAGCCTCCAAATTGTAAGAATAACTCCTGTTTGTTAAGGCCATCCCATTTGTGGTATATTTCTTGTCAGAGCGGCACTAGGTAATCAGAACAGGAGACTGTAGGAAACTTTTTTTTTTTTTCCTTGATAAAGAGTTTCTGAAGCACTAAAATAAATTCACATATTCAGTAACAAGACTTAATTTGCCAAGTTTCTTCCCCCATCCTCAGCTGTGTCTGAGTTTGTATGCTACAGGCCCAAGGATTGTTGGCTCTGAGTTGACTCTCTCCTTTCTTGTGGGATTCTAATGTGAATTTCGTGAGGGGGAGGTAGCAGCAACTTTGACTTTGTAAGTATCATTTTTCTTATTACCTGTTTGAGGCTCCTTCATCCCTGACGCAGTGTCATCAACATCCCACAAAATCTCTCCATTGATTGCTAATATCTAATTCTCTCAAACATCCTGTGAGGTAGAAACTGTTCTGTTTCCCCTTATGTAAATGATACTATTAAGGATAGAATTAGTCTAAGCTTCTTGTAAGGAGCCTCCAGAATCCTTACACCTGCCTGTCTCTTCACCTCCCTTATGTGCCCTTCCTTCCCCATCCCTCTTTGCACTAAAAGTCTAGTAATACTGAACTGCATGTTCCCTAAAATGCCATCTCTTCTCATGTATCTCTCCCTTTATCATGTTTTTGCTTACTGAAACTTCTTTCCCTTTCTTCATTTAGAAAAATATACTTCTCATCTCTCAAGACCTTCCATTCAGAAATCATCTGTGAGAAGCCTTTCCTAAATACAAAGCCCTAATTAGATTGATTTTCATATTTTCCAGAACATTTTGTGCATAGTACAGTCATTGGATTTACTACTATTTACAAATGATTTGCATCTTTTTCTTCTATCCTTAACTCATAACTGAAGATATTTGAGGGTAGAAACCTGGCAATTTTCCTTTTTAATCTCATCCTATATCACAGTGCCTATATAGAGAGTAACTCAGTAAAGTATCTTTTGTGTACTTTAAAAGTAACCATGGCTACTTTTAGTTTGTCTGTGTCATTATTCCATGTTGTATCAGAACAGTGAAAAAGATTTAAGAAAATCTCAAAACGTACAGAACCGTTAAGGGTAAATTGAAGTGGGAAAGACTTTTATCAGATTAAACCCTTTTAAATTTAAAGCAGAATTATTTTCTGCTTTGAATTCTTTTGTTGAAACCATGTGTTTTAAGTAATGGAAGTCATTTTGAATGAATTGAAAGGAAAAACATTTTTTTTAGGTAATACAGATTTTGACAAAATTTGTGGGATATGTATGTCCTGAGGGGTCTCTAGTACTGGGGTTGGTGATATAAGGCCTGTTTCTTCAGATTCACACAGTTACACAGGCTCCCGCCAGATGATAGCACATGCTAAAAGCAGGATAGCAGCCTCTCATTAAACCCCAAAGCAGAAAATGTAGCTGGGCACTGTGTATCCCATTGGCTATGAAAGAGTTAAGGTAGTTAATTAAGGTGCTATATAAAGGACTTATAGCTAAACACTAAAGATGAGCATATATGAGAAAAAACAATCATAGTTTATTTAGGCCCTGATGGATTGATTTTAGATGCGTAAAAAGTATATGATCCACTTTAGTTCTGTTGTAATTCACTTTAAACTTACTATTCTATCTTATATTTGCTTTTTTACTTGTAATAAATATCACTGTCCTGCTTCTCTTTTTAATATGTACGTGAAATGTCTAACAGTTTTAGAAGTCAATAATAGATAAAGCCAAACTAGGTAGAAGCTACTTTACATGGTGGGCCCTTGACTGTTCATGCCCTGAGAATCATTCTTGGATAGTAGGTAGAAGTCCTCTTATTTCAGAGCTTACTGATAAACTGTTAATAGTTTTAGATTTAGCATTTCTAGCATTGGTTTGCTAAAAAGTGATGTGAATGAACTTTTAACTTACATATGTTGGGTTAACTTAAAGTTCTTTTTCTGATGTTATTCTCCTAAAAATAGACAAAACAGACTACTATTCTCATAAGACATTTACCTAGGGCTTTGTATTATTCAGCGGTTATGAATTACTTCATATCTGTGAATCAATCTAAATAAGCCAATATTTAGGGCATGATTTTTGTAAAATATTGTGTGATATATATATATATATATATATATATATATATATATATATA